CCCCGCTCACCGCCAGCCCCCCAGCTCTTCATCTCCCCCTCATGGCTGGGCCTCCTCCTTGTTCCCCCTCCCCGCTCACCGCCAGCCCCCCAGCTCTTCATCTCCCCCTCATGGCTGGGCCTCCTCCTTGTTCCCCCTCCCCGCTCACCGCCAGCCCCCCAGCTCTTCATCTCCCCCTCGTGGCTGGGCCTCCTCCTTGTTCCTCCTCCCCGCTCACCGCCAGCCCCCCAGCTCTTCCTTTCACCTCAGTATCTGCATTCATTGTGGAAATTCAATTAACAGCTGGGCACTTAATAATAAGTCCCAATATCTCTCTTCTATATATATGACTTTGTTATTTTGCTGATAAGTAATAATGCTTTGCTGATAAGATGAGATACTGCCTGACAGAGGCCGGTAAGGCAGGTTGTGTTGGGCTTAAGGCTGATGTACTTCTGGTTAGAATGCATGCTGTAGGAAGCTGTGTACCCTACACTGCAGCCGGACGAGCACCTCCCCAGAAATGTAGGTACAGGCGTCAGACTCCAGCATACTAGGCTACCTATGGCATAGATTCTATGTAGAAATATAAATCAACCTTTAGGCTTTAAATTAGTAAATCAAATAGCTACTTCTTTTAGCATTAAATCGTTATGTTCAGTAGTAGCGTCTCTGACACAAAAAACCTGGTGGGACACGATAAGGACTAACATGCACAGTATTTGTTCAGTGATTCCTAATACAAATGCACCTCATCAGTTACATCACAAGAACATTAATGTAACAGGGCAGGAATAAGCAGAGGTGGAGACAGAGATATGAGTGGCATTATGAACGAGTGGCATTATGAACGAGTGGCATTATGAATGAGTGGCTTTATTAATGAGTGGCTTTATTAATGAGTGGCATTATGAATGAGTGGCATTATGAATGAGTGGCTTTATTAATGAGTGGCATTATCAACGAGTGGCATTATGAACGAGTGGCATTATGAACGAGTGGCATTATGAACGAGTGGCATTATCAACGAGTGGTATTATCAACGAGTGGCATTATCAACGAGTGGCATTATGAATGAGTGGCATTATCAACGAGTGGCATTATCAACGAGTGGCATTATTAACGAGTGGCATTATGAATGAGTGGTATTATTAATGAGTGGCATTATGAATGAGTGGCATTATGAATGAGTGGCATTATCAACGAGTGGCATTATCAACGAGTGGCATTATGAACGAGTGGCATTATGAACGAGTGGTATTATGAACGAGTGGCATTATGAATGAGTGGCATTATCAACGAGTGGCATTATGAACGAGTGGCATTATGAACGAGTGGCATTATGAACGAGTGGTATTATGAACGAGTGGCATTATGAACGAGTGGTATTATCAATGAGTGGCATTATTAATGAGTGGCATTATTAACGAGTGGCATTATGAATGAGTGGTATTATTAATGAGTGGCATTATGAATGAGTGGCATTATCAACGAGTGGCATTATCAACGAGTGGCATTATGAACGAGTGGCATTATGAACGAGTGGTATTATCAATGAGTGGCATTATTAATGAGTGGCATTATTAATGAGTGGCATTATCAACGAGTGGCATTATTAACGAGTGGCATTATTAACGAGTGGCATTATCATTAACAACCAATTAACCCTTCAGTTATTTTATTACCCTGCCTGTGGCAGCTAAAATAACAGCTAGCTGATGGTTGATATGACCAATAACAAAGTCTTGACGTAGGTCAAATCGATTAGCGTGACATTTTATTGCCCCCCCCCCCGCCCATTATTGAAAGCGTGTTGAACATGCGCATACAGTTTGCAGCTGCTCACTTGCTTAAACAAACGCCGACAGACCGGCCCCATGGACAGCAAAGAGAGACGGTTAGGGACAGCAAATACAGCGAGATATTTGGAATGCATGACAGTGCTACCATTGTATATGTAATAAATGCACAACGACATTAGTTAATTGTGAAGAAAAAATATATATTGTTAGACTGAATTGCTGATTATGTCAGGCACTGCTCAACAGCGACATCTGGTGGGGCCTGGCAGCCCCTAATGTAGAGACGCCGCCGTTGTTCAATATGTAGACCTGGAGTACTGCAAAATCGTTCAAACGATGTTCATGCTGGTGTAAAACTACAATAGTATGTCTGTCAAAGTGCCTTCAGTAACCATCCAATATACCCAGGTACTTGTTGACTTGATTACTAACATAACTGAACTGTGAAATTTTACAAAGTTCAGGAGGAAAAATTTGGGAACTGCAGCTTCGCTAGCCATCGTATGAGACATCAGCAGCCAGGGGGTGGGACGGACTAATGTTCAGCCCGGGAGTTTTATGCATGAAAACAGCCCATTTTGTCTCTGTTCTTGGGGAACAGAGACAAAATGGGCCCACAGTTCAACTATTACTATCCCGATAAATGTATTAATTACATTTCAAGAAGAAAATAAATAATGAATAGCATATTGAACTGTTCAAGCAGTCTGACTTTTTCAGCCCTGCCTGGTTTCTCCCTAACGTCCATCATTTGAGGCACTTCCAGTAAACAGACCAAATGTCTCCTACAATGTAATAAAAACCTGTTATTTTGACTATATTGATCTGTGAATTCAATCAAAAAACTAAAAATGCCAAAAGTCTTGTGTTTTGTTTGGTTATTTACGGTTAAAGTTAGGGCTGGGTAGGGGTTAAGGTCGTCATGTTGGGAAATGAATGGAGAGTCCCCACAAAGATATAATTACAAACCTGTGTATGTCTGAGTGAGTGCGTGCGTGCGTGCGTGCGTGCGTGTGTGTGAGAAAACTCATTGGTTAACATTCAGAAGCATTGCTGTAAAATTTTAATGATGTGAAATGATTCAGGTTCAGACCAGCTCAATTTAAAACTTGCCAAATTATTTTGTTTCTGACCGGCGCAGTAGCTAAACAGTACAGTGGGAATTCTGCTGAGTCTGTCGGCTGTTTACCCTGCGGCTCCACATGAGTGTCTTAGTGAATTTTTGGAAAACTGGAACGAAATTCTTGGTTCTTTTTATTGTGTTACAGCTGGTTTGCGTTTGCGAATATTGTAATATGCAATCATGCTTTTATGATCAAATATGAACTTGAGCACTGATAAATAGCCATGAACGTTGTCTTTCCTTTGTGTGGTTCTGTAAATACGGGGTTAGGTCCAAGCTACAAGCAGGGTGTTGCCGTTTTATTGCGTGTTGTTACTGTGAGCTCATCTGCAGCCTGAAGGAACGCAGCCAGGGCGCAAATCAACATCAAGCTGCGCGTCGCTTTGAAACGCAGCTCTGCAGCTGCGTCCAAAGGTCTCCGCGATACGCGCGACCTGAAATGGGCAGGAGTGAGAAGCTGCCGGTACATTTGGTCCAGATCTTCATGACAGACCTTAACCGCCTTCATCCCACGTTTGCACAGGGTGAGACTATACAGTCACTCTCAAATATTCATAACTAGCAATATTTATTTCTTGAGTATAAATTAAGTACAATAAAAAAAAAAACAAATTGATGGGATTTGTGCATACTTTGTCCTTGAATTCACACGTATGTGATGTAGCTGTAAGATATATATTGGATCATTCTGTGATGCTTTTTTTTGATGTTGCGAAAGGTTGAGTATTTTGAAAATATATTGTTCGGTTCCATATATAATTTTGATATGCATTCTTTTTTTTAACTCTAACTTAAGTATAACCTGATTTGTATATATAGGCTATTACGTATTTCAGGTTGAGCTCAAATCAATGCAGATTATAGCGTAGATTTATTCCAGTTTGCTCCTGTTGCACCAGTTAGAAGGTTTCCCTAAAATCGCCTGTAGCATACGACTGGATATACGTATGTGTGTGTGTGTGTGTGTGTGTGTGTGTGTGTGTGTGTGTGTCCTGCTCTGGACTGGCAATAAGTACAGGGTGCGCCTTGAGTCCTGGACTACCTGGGATAGACTCCAGGCCCCAGTGCGACTGACTGTATTTAGACGTTTGATGATAGATGGATGGAGTCTGATGAGATTCCGATCAATATAAGTTGCTAAACTTTATTTAAAGGAAGAAGATGGAGCTGACCAACCTGAAGGGTATACGGAAGGAGAGGAGCGTCAGTGAGTCCAATCCCTCCACCTTTGGGAAGGAGTTCATGGATCAGCTTTGCACTTTTGTACATAGCAACCGGCTGTATGAATTCAAAATTTACATCCAGTTGATGTTTAAATTGATCATTATCAGAGTTGAAGTATCACATTTTACAAAAGATGCCAGTTTCTGAACAAGAAGCCATTACATTTGAGGTGGGGGTCACAGGTTCACGCACAGAGCCAAAGAAGTGGCCCCTGATACTGATGACTGGTGGTGTAGGGGGGTCCGGGCCACCTCGGGGCCACTGCCCCCCTGCCACGCTCAGTCTCCCCAACACATGCCACCATAAATTAATTTGTGCCCCCGTGATCAGTCACATATTCCAGCTCTTTGTGCGTTCGCTCCCTAGAGTTTGACACCTCCCAGAGCGCCTCGATCGGGGCCGTGCGCTGGACCCTTCCGGAAGAGGACACCCAGGCCCACAGCTCGGCGCCCACCACCTTCAAGAATAACTCCGCCTCCAGAGCAAACGTATGTTAGCAGGGGGGGTTGAGTGGTGAGGGGCGGTCCAAGGGAACCTTCAAGGCGGAGGGGGCCTGATGGGTGGATCAATAAAAGGATGGATGACTGGAAAGTTTATGGAGGAGTATTAAGGGAGGATTACTTGGTTTGAAGGGAGTGGTGCTCATATTTGAACCTCAACTTTGACCCCCCTCCCCCCCCCGAACTTCCTCAGGGACTGAGGAACCTGCGCAGTCTTCAGGACTGTGTAAAGTTCATCAACCAGTGGAAGGAACAAGTGGACCAACTCTGCAAGGTAGACTGTCCGGATTGGTGTGGGTCAGGGAGAGTGACCATGAGGAGCAAGGTGCGCGATGGAAAGTGGGGGCATGTGAGAACCATTCTCCATACCTATCCTACTGGGAGCAGTAGAGGCTTTCCAGCTCTCCCACTCTGTGAGCACTTAGGGAGGGACCTGGTCCAATCAAGATCATTTTTAGTTTGATTAGCGTGTTGGTGTCCAGGTAAAATGAAGGCCCGTAGAGATGCAGTCCCCCTTAGATGAAGACCTCCTCGCCTGGTTGAAGTGTAGCTGGAGCATGACATCTCTTACTCTCCTCTTCATCCTAAGCTTAACCTTCTTTTCCCTTTTGGAACCGTTTCCATATTTTTTTCTCTGGCCTAAACGCAATCATGTATTCTATTTACTTCGGCCCCTAAACCTAACCTTTAATTCTCTTCCCCATTTCAGTCTGTTCAGTAGTTCTCCACTTCCTCTAATTTCCTTGAATTTAATTTGAAATCTATTTTCCAGTACTACATACATTCTTACTCCCTCCCTCATCTTAAACTGAACCGTTTTTAACCCCCTGAAAGTTTGTTCGTTCCCCTCTTCTTAGTCTAACTGAAGATTTCCTCCAATGATTTCCCTAAATCTATACAATAACTTTCACTCCTCATTTACGCATCCCCTGTCTCTGTCATTAACCTTTCTCTCTTTTAGCCTAATCTTAACCTCTTACTCATTGAATTGCAGTTGTATACATTCTGATTCACTTCTGTGTTGTAAAATTAACCTTTCAATTAATTAACTCTACTCTTGTCCTCTTCTGGCCCAAACTGTACTGGATATAATTTTTTAATCCAGTCCCTATACCTAACACTAAACCTAACCTTTCTCTCCAGTTTTACTTTATGGATATTGCTACCCCCCTTTTCATTCTAAATTCAATTTCACTGCCTTTCCCCTAATCTTAACCCCTAACTTATTAATGAATAAGTTCAGCCAGACCATCACCAGGACCACAGTATGGGAGCATTGTTACTTTGTTGTGCAGGAGCAGAGCTGAGATGACAGTAATGATGAGCCCATCCACAGTTTCCAGTCAGTGGACTGGGGACAAAGTCCAAGGAAGGAGAGGAAGATTTTATGGGTGTTAATTGGGTTTTATAGACACCTACAGGCTGAGGCTGTGAGGTCAATGGGCAGCTCGTGTGCTGATACCACAGCCAGGTCTTGCCTGACACTGCTTATCATATTATTTACAACAATGCTTCAGGTCACGTAGGTCCGGCCGGTGATTGGCATGAAGGCCGAGGGGGTGGGGGGGATGGGTTAACACACGGGATGCAAATGCCATGTTCCAGCAGGGTGGCGCAGTGGCCGAGAGCACCAGCAGAGCGGCGCAAGCGGACCCAGGCACCACGCACAGCCTGGAAGAGTGCAGACGGCTCATCCTCCAGTGGGCGAAGGAGCTGAAGCAGGTGGACATGGTGAGTGGTGCAGGGGGTGTGTCCAAGATGATGGTGGGAGGGGCCAAGGCAAGCAAAGTTACGGAGGGTTTCTGAGAATGTTCCGTGAGGTACCCCAGCGTGACACTGACCCTACTCGCCCACAGATGATCTCCCCGTGCTCTGAGGAGGATGAGGAGGAAGGAAAGGAGAAGCAGGAGTCCAGCAAGGAGAAGGTGGCGCCCCTGCAGCAGAGGATCATGGAGTGGGCAAAGGAGCTGCAGACCGTGTCGGAGGTCAGGGATCGTTCGGATGTGTGGGCGTGGCTTGCTGCTGTATGGAGTGGTCCACATTATCATGGCAGGGGGGTGACACGTCTGTCCCTGCAGAACTGCGGCATCCCGCAGGAGGAACTGGCTAAGCTGCTCCGTCACCTGGAAGTGAGGAAGAGGAGGTTGATGAGCGTTCTTCCCTTCCTGGAGTTCATCACCTGGTGCCTGCTGAAGGAGGACAGTAAGGTAATGGGCCCCCACCCACCATTTACATCACCGCTGTCTGTTTTCTGTGTTCCATTGTATCCATGGAGACACAGACATATACACATACACTGGGATTTATCAGCAAAAAGGAAGACTGAGCTTTTGAACCCTCTCACTGTTGGGATTATCACATTCCTCCATAAACAAGTTCAACTTAATGTTTATTGGTTATTTAATCGGTTCGCGTGATGTTAAAAAAGTAAACGACAGTCATGATGATGTCACGTAACAATGACAGTCATGTAGCAACAAGGAAACATTGTAACAATTTACTTTCAGAATTTGATTCAGGTCTGGAGGCTTGGTGAAAGGATATTGAATGTTTAATGGGCATTCATCCAATCTCAACATTGTCTTCCTCATGGTCTAAACGTCTACCATGGAACTGATCATTTGAAATGTATTTCCTGAATTTTTATACGGTGTGATACATATTAACGATTTCATAGAAAATACAGTTTAACCCTGCTGAAGGGATCAGCTTATTTAACCCCTAATAATGGAGCCCCGAAAGGGTACTTTCCAAAATCATAAACCGGGCCACAAAAGAACAGAGGCAGACATTTCAGGTCCAGGAAGTAAAAATCCAGACCAAGATTCTGTTTCAAGCAGCCGGTGCAGTCCAGCTCTGCAAAACACAGACAAGATCATTAAAATGTGGTCTGAAATGACCTCAGTTATTACCTTGATTATTCAGCGGTGACTTTTATCTGAAGAACCGTCATTGGCTTATATTGCCCGTGATATTTGAGCGATTGAGGACCGCGGTGTCCTGACTTGACCGCAGCTTCACTCTGCGTATTGATGTGTCTCTTGCCCACCCCCCCCCTCCACGCAGGCATCTATCCCCAACCTCTGGCTCCTGACCAAACAGCGCACCTGGAAAGTTGGTGAGTATCTCCGTCCCCCTCTACCCCGGGACATGCAGGCTTGAGCAGCATTTTGTGTGCATGGTGTGTGACTGGGTCAGGGTAGCGGGGGGCGCCTTCCCCCATATCTGCCCGGACCTTGGACGGCCTGGGATGGCTGCCAAGTGGCCGGGTGTGGCGTGAGACAGGGAGGTTTATGAGGTCCTGCCGTGGAAGTAAGACACACCGTGTTTAACCTGAGCTCTGGTCCTGCATGTTTTCACAGGGACACGGAATTACATTCCAAATTCAGGTAATCCGCCTCCTCCTCTTTATTTCCAAATGATGCTATGGATTGTGTTACACTGATTTACTGCCCCATCTCTCCCCAATGCCCCCTACAGTTTGGAGCTGGATCTGCAGTGCGGCAGGTAATTAAATCCTCCGCTGACTGGGCAGTAAAGGGTCTCCATCAGGTTTTTGTTAAAAACATTGATCTAAAGCAGCTTGTCCATCTTCAAGCTACTTTTCCTGGTTAAGAGTAGGTGTCACTCTGAATGCCTTTATATAGCTTTGCTAAGTATTTTTAGCTGAATATGTGGGCGGGGCTAAAACCAAGCTCCACCCATGCCAGTCACCCCCTTCTCTAATGCCTCTTCCACCCCGCAGAGGAGGTTACCCTGGACCCCATGACCAACCACCCCTGGCTCCAGCTGTCGGACGACCGCAAACGGGTGCAGGAGGGTTTGTCGGCAGCTGAGCTGCCCTTCAGCACCCAGCGCTTCGACGGCTGGCCCTGCGTCCTTGGCTGGGAAGGCTTCTCGTACGGCCGCCATTACTGGGAGGTGGACCTGGCCAACAATGGCTACTGGCGCCTGGGCCTGACCACGGGCTCATCCAAGCGGAACGGCCGCTTCCCCATGGTGCCCTCTGCTGGATTCTGGACGCTGTGGAAGAGCACGCGGCAGTTCTACGCTTGCACGGCGCCGGAGACGCCTCTGCCGCCCGACATGGCGCCCCGCCGTATCGGCGTCTACCTGGACTACGAGGAGGGCCAGATCTCTTTCTACAATGCCAGCGCCAAGTCGCACATCTACACGTTCATCGACACCTTCCGCGAGACCCTCTACCCGCTCTTCGCCCCGCTGGACGGACGCACCCTCATCACCGTCTCTTGCCCGACAGCCACTGGCGACCCCTAGTGGAGCCCTGCCCTCCCACCCCCAGCGTCACTCAACTCAGAAACTGGGAATTACAGGCCGAGCTCACCCCCCACCCCAAACCAGACAAAGGATTCGCATGAAAAGTGATCACCTTGGCAAAGCAGAATCCCCAGCTGCTTTTTTCCCAGCATGCCCTGGACTCACAGTGGCCCATTGTGTGCCTGAATGTCCCCGGCGGGGGGGTGGGTGTGTGGACCTGCGGAGAGTTCTGTCGCCAACACACCCGGAGCGATCACAAACGAAGCCGAACTGAAACGATGGCCGACAGAAATATATTAAAAGAATACAAGCGACTAGCCGCTCCACATAAACCGTGTATGGTCACATATGTTAATGTCGATCTCATATATGTTAGATTGTCGGCAACTTCTTTTACTGTTGTTTCATCTCAGACCGTAGTCCAAGCATACAGCATGTGGGTCGAAAGTGTGATTATGCGACTGGCCCCCAGCTGGGCTCTGACCTCAGATCATGACACGTTAATCCCTGCTTACGCACCATGACAATTGATTTTCAATTATTCACAATGTAAATGTCAAATGATGTTAAATCCTTTTTCTTCCATTTGCAAGGTACAGGTACATCGAAATGCTTCTCTTCGCTGACTCCATCTTGCTCTCCATAGCTTGGGGGGGGGGGGTCATTGCGCAGGGTTAGCCAACATGCAGAGCCCCTGAAGCTGGGGGTTAAAGGCCTCGCTCAAGTGCCCACAGACATGTGACTGGTGTGCCGAGGCCGGGACTCGAACTGCCGACCTTCTGATCATGGGCACAGAGACTTAACAGACTTGATGAAAAACAAGCTTTCTGTAGGAGAGACTGCAGTATCATGGAAACAGACACAGCTGTTCGTGGCAGCAGGATAAATGACGATCAAGGAAAAAATTCTGCCAGCCCCCCTGATGCCACGCAATAGGTCACTGAGGGTGTGACCACCTCCCAGCCCCCAAGTCTGATGACGGGAGCCGGGTTTGAGAGAGCCGGCGATCGGCGTGCAGATGCCAGGTCATTCCCTTCCTGGTTCTTATCTTATCTTTGACGTCTTTATGCCACGCGGGCCGTCCGCCGTCCGCCCGATAACATTCCCCATGATAAACTTTGAACCTGCGTGCCACCAAAGGCTCATCTGCACCTAGTTAAGGTCCCCGTGCGAATGAGCATGAAAATGTGCTTTCTAGATCTGTAATCAATGTAACGACAATTAATGCAACTTTTGTTCGCTGAATGCTCCCGTATTCAATAGATTTGATGCATAATCCATCCATCCATCATCTCACTGCTTATGCTGGTGGGGGGGGGGGGTGGAATATCCCAAACAGCATCATGGACACAAACAATGGGCAATTTAGAGAAGTCAGCTGGCTGGGGGGGGGGGGGGGGGGGGTGGAATATCCCAAACAGCATCATGGACACAAACAATGGGCAATTTAGAGAAGTCAGCTGGCTGCAGGGCATTTGACCACAACCCCTACGGTCAACATGTCGTGCAGTAAACTTGAAATGCTAGTATCCTAATAAAATTAATTCCCAGATCCCTTATTAAAAATGCAGACTGACATCTACTTAGACAACTGGTGTCAAACTGCAGTCCTGGGGGGCCTTGTGCTAATTACCACACAGCACTTGAGCTGAATCATTTGTTGTAGAAGAGATTATGAACTAAAGCTACAAAGGGCTCTGGCACCCCAGGACATCCCTGACCTAGACGTTCGAAGCGAAAACATCTCCCCCTCCTTTAGCAACCAAAAAACCAGCAGAATTGACTGTTAGCCATAAGCGGAGCAGGCTGTCCCGTTTACTAAGCCGGGCTTTGGCAGTGTTGTATGTTATTCAGACCAGCAGGTGTGGGAATTTGTATAAAAAGTTTATTTAGCTTGTATCATTTAAAAGTGATAAAAAAAATAAAGGCTACAAGTTTTTTTTTTTTGTTTTGTTTTTTAAAATAAAAAAAAAAAGTCTACAAGCATATCAAAGTCTGTGCCGTTGTGTGGTTATTAAGTACAGATCCAGGACCAGGACCACTCAGAATCTATGGACTCAATGGGAGCAGAGGCCAGATTCCTGCCGCTCAGTCCGAGTCGCTCTTCTCCTCCTTCACCAGGAGCTTCTTCCCCCTCTTCGGCTCCGGGGCTTCGCGCTCCTTCTCACGCTTGCCCACCTTGGATTGCCTGGTGGGGGTGGGGGGGGCACATCTTTACAGGGAATTCTGGGATTGCACAGAAACGGGGGTCTTAGCTCAGAGACCCAGAACACACGGCACTCACAGCTTCTGCCTGTACTTCTCCTGGTCCGCAAGGGGCACCAGATCTCCCAGCTCCAGGCTCTGGTTGATCATCTTCAGCATCTCGTAACGCTCTTTACCACGGATCTGGCAAAAAACAAGGGGGGGGCGGGGTTAGCACGTGGTCATCTGGCACAAGCGCGGACCCAAAAACCCACCGGTGCCCCCGATCTACTCACCTGCAGTGTGTAGGTCTCCTCATCGGTGCTGGAGCTGGACTTGGTCTTCTTGCTGGGTTCAGGCCGGGGGCCGGTCTGGGATGGTTCCTTAAGGGCTGCAAGAGTGCCGCGAACTTGTCACCATGACGAGGTTACGGTTACCACGACGATGCAGAGGAACCACCATTTTTAGGGACATTTAACATAAATACCTAGCCCCGACGGCTTCCAAGTGCCCTCTTGCTACTGACAGGACTCGTAGTTACATGTCTTGGCCAGTAGGTGGCGCAAGAGACCAAGACTTCAGGTTTTCGTAACCATCACAAGAGCTAAAAACCATGCAGCCTGAAGGGATCTCTGAGCGCAATGCAGGTTGTTCCCAAGAATGACCATCAGGGAGCTTCAGCCGCACTCACCGCGCTTGGTGCCTCCGCTGGTCTTGGACGTCGACTTCTCCTGCAGCTTGGAGTTGTTCTCCTCCTCGGTCTTCCGGTCGCGGCCGGGGCAGGCGCAGACACGCACCTCAAAGCTGCGACGTCCCAGCAGCCGGCCACTGCAATGACAGGTTTATGGTGAGTGAGTGGGGGGGGGGTACGCAATCAGGAAGCGAGAGATGACTGGGGGTACGGACTCAGGGCTCTCCAGCGTGATGATGGTGAGGATGGGTCGGCGGTTCATGCCCCCCATGCAGCTGCTGTTGCACATGTAGTTGTACAGGATGGTGGTGCACTCAGAGCCCACCTGGGGGGGGGGGAGGAAGGCATCCATTAGTTACCATGGCAACTCGCGCAATCCACGATGATCATTAATAGTGATTTACCTAGAGTGAAATTTTGTGAAGGATGCATTACATTAAGGTACAGCAGCCGAACCCAGGGGATACAGGGTCGCATCCCCAAAGCGCATGCGTACCTGGGGCGGCTCGTAGGGGACCACAACACTGTGCCGGAGGGTGTTGCTGTCGTCGATGTACTGAGCCCTCTGGCTGCCCTCGACTCGGATCAGGTGACCTTTGGGGGCGGGGCCTGAGAAAGAGGGAACGTCAGCGGGGCATCCTGATTGGCTTGGCGCGAGCTGGTGTCGCAATGCAGGGACGAGGGGAACTCGGTAAGTGAGCTCGCCGGAGAACGGAAGTACGGACTTCATCGTTTAATAATTAATGCACACTAAAAGCCAAGCATAAACATAAAAACGGAATAAGGACACAAGAGCCAATCATGACACCCCAAACCCACATATACCCCGATTTTATTTTTTAAACAGACCAATTAACGAGCAAAACCGATGACAGACCAAAGTCGGCTGGAGTCGACTTGTTTTGTTGTAGAGGGATACGACCAGCAGGGGGTGCTCTCACCTTCGTTGTTTTCGGGGATGCGTTCATGGTGCGGACAGCGGCGCACCACCTCGGCCACGTGCTCCGATTTCTTGTAGACGGCGGTGGCCCGCAGGATGGAGCCGGGCGGGGGCGGCTGGCTCACCAGCATTTGTACTGGGCACGTCTTGGCCAGCTGGCAGTAGAGCTTGTTCAGGATGGAGGAGTACTGGAGGGGGACAGGAACGAGCGGGTCAGCGGAAACGCCGGCGGGATCCGGAACAACCCACTGCATGATTAATGAAGCATTCACAGCTGCTGGAAATTAAAAACATCAACGCCGACATTTTGCCCCGCATAAATGCCACGTTCTCATTCTCCATTGGGGCCATACAGAGCGACGATCTCACAGCGTTTCGGGTCAGAAGAGAAAGCAAACGTAGCTCTCAGGGCAAAAGTCACAAGTGTGGAAGTCCCCTCAGCGGCTGCCAGACGTCGCCACGTCTCCTCATCTGGCAAACCCATCCAGAAAGCTCACCTACATCGCCACTCCGCACAATCCTCCCCCCCCCCAGGCTGTGAGCAGAGCGGCCAGTCCCCTCCCCCACCACAGACTGAAGAGCAAGTCTGAACATGCCCGTCCGACTGGCAGTTTAGGCGCGGGCGGGCGAGCGGGCAAACGCCTTCTCCGGCTCCCAGCACAGCGCTTAAACGAGTATCACCAGCTTCATGGTCGAACCACATGGGGCTCCACCCACAGCCGTCTGCGTCCTCCAGAACCCACATGTCCAATCACAGCCTGGGCAGTGCCATGAGCCACGTTGAATCTTTTTTTTTCTTTTTCCTTTTAATTTATCAACGACCTTTGATAATTCACAACTATTCTGCTACTAGTGATCCTGCTCAGTTCTACCCTGAGAAGTTAACATTTTGGCCACATTCACACTTCACCTCCATCTGCAACCCCCATCCCACCCATAAACAGGGATCCTATACAAATATGAAATCACTCGGCATAAAACACCGGCACCTTGGCAGCACTGCAGTTTAACTGTCAACCCCCCTCCAAGCCTAGTACTCTAATCCAACCCCTCCACATCACTCACTGGATGACTCAAGCTTAACCATGTGTGGGACAGCCTGTGTAAGGCTTTATAATGCAGAGTCCAGTGTCATTGTGGGGGAACTTACTAACCACCAACTAATAATCAACTCTACATGGGGTTGGGAGAAACGAAACTTACACTGAAACGTAGCAGAAATTTTAACTGGCGAATGAGAACTAAGCGCATGTCACCTGTGGGCGGGGCCACGTTAACCCTCTCCCAGCCAGGAAGAAAAGCAGAGCGGAGACAGCCGGAGGGCATGCCTCATCATGTCCGTTACCCACAAGCACCAGCCGGTCGTACCAAAATGCTGGGGGGGGGCAGCAGACAGGCCCGAGGGTCACCTCACTCCGCCACTGCGAGCTTGTCCTCACCGGCAGTGACACGAGAGGCCGAGACGCCCTTACGGATCCTTGAAGCTCCCTTCCAGCACGCCGATCCAGCCCTGGATGGTCTCTGGGCCCCCACCCGAGCAGGATCCCCCCCCAGGATCGACCGCACCAGCCGGGAACAATAGGAAACCAAGCGGGGTCTAGGTTCACCACGGGGATCCCCATCAACCAGAGGTACGGCTTCATCAAGGCATGGACACCCGAGAAACCGCGGGTGAGACACGGCGAGATTCTGAAGGGGCTAAGTGTGCTAAACCTCTCCTGAAAATTGCTTAAAAAGACTAAAATTCAAAAATAACTAATCATTACCTGCAAACAAGCTAATTATGCAATTTTCTATGATAGTTTACAGAAAGAAAAAAAAAATCGATTTTGCTTTACTGCTGCTCTTAAATTTCACTAAATATTTAAAATAAAAATTGCGCTGGTTGGATTACATACAGATAACTGGGATGAACTTTAGAGAGATTTTTTTTAAACTTGATTAAAGGTACTTAAACAGATCGGATCAGCTAAAGAACTGGGTTTGGTTTACAGCGCGCGTTTGACTCTCCGTGGCCAGGGCCATGATTTCTGCCCGTCTCTAAGCGAGAAGCCGGAGCTACCAGTGCGAAACAGAGGGATGGGTCGGGATTTTACAGCCGCGGGAAATTAAAGGGCGGATGGCATCAGCCTGGGCGGAGGTGCATAGATCAGATGACGACGTGGTACTGGTAGGGGCACGATGCGCCGCCATGGCAACTCACCGTGCTGGTGACCGACTTAGTCGTACTGGACTGAGTGAAACGCAGCTGGAAGTCCAGGCTCCCGGGGTAGTCGGTGGTGGTGGGGACCGTGGAGGAGGGGGGCGCCCCGCATTCGGGGGGCGACACCGAGGGCTGGGGGGGTGTAGCCTCAAAAAGGCTAGCATCGATCAGCTACACGTCGGCAGGGAGAAATAACAAATAAACAGAAAACGAAGACAAACAAACAGTAACCTGACATAGATCCCCTCATAGAGTAAATACTTCTGGCTCCACGTTCAGATTTTAAGGGTGGACTGTTTATCAAGATATACATGTAGCTGAACACAAGTACCCGAGCACATACAGAGTAAGCCTAGCAGCATCTCCGTTATGCGTTAGCATTAGCGAAAGCGCTCCAGCTTAATTTGATTGGGCTGTTTCCACCTCAACCCTGTTAAGGACTCCAGATAAAAAGTTGTGGGTGGAAAGATCATTATCGGGCCAAGTTTCCTGCTGGACATCATATCCTCCCACCCACGCTGTTCAGGAGGCTATAGATCCCCATCCACCCCCACATTCCGGTTTCCAAAATGCTCCCAGGGCCAACCAGTGTCTGCCTGTTGAGGGGGAGGGGGACTAGGGCACCCAGTAGTGTAAGCCGCAGACACATTGTCAGGCTTCTGAAAATTAGAATAGGGCACAGGGAGCTTTTATAGATTATGCCAGCTGCTTTTCCAGGTGACGCAGAAGCGTAGCCCTCGTGATGAGGTGGGAGGCCCCGGACTGGCGCGGAGCAGACTTACATGTCCAATGTCTTCCCAATTCTCACTCTCATTCGGCGCCGGCCTAAAATGTCAGTAAACATTAACCGCGTGAATGCAAAATAATCATCAGGTCCGCTATTCAAAGAAACAGCATCAGTAATATTTGCTCCTTAGATATTAGCCTTGTACACCTTGCACGTGACAAATAAAACCCTTGAATCCCATCCACGGGCATGCACGCCCCTAATAATATAGGGTCAAACAAAACACTGGTATAGCTTGCAGGATGATTCTCAGTGGCGTCTTCTAGTGGTTAAGGCTCGATGCGGTGCGGCTTATAGGCCCCGATGCGGGTGTTTGGGAACTCTCACACTTACATGAGGTTCCACAGGTCCTGGAAAGTCTGGCTAAACTGCAGGTTGTCGTCCTGCTCGGCCATGTTATCTCCCGCTTCTCTGTCTGCAGCGCTCATTTGCTTGCAAAAGCACGAAGGGCAGAGGGGCAAAGCAAATCTGGGGGAGGAGGAATCACCAATATAAATGTTAGCTCTAATACAAGAACAACACATTTTGCATGACCGCAAACGGAACATTGGCTTACAATAAACGTGTTTACGTGCATGCCACATGTTACTGGCATTGTTTTTCAAATGACATTCGCGAATTTCATCAATAACTTAAAAGACTTCATCTGATAAGTTGGTGCAGCGACATCCCGTGTGTAACCTCAAACTGCAAACAAGTCATAACGTGAAATCCCTACCCCCCAGTTCCCCTCAACAACAACAAAAATCGCTTGGCGTTATTATTTACGAAAATGCCGTGAAACGAAAGTAAGTTTTAAACATGGTCTACTGTTTATTTAAAATAAGACTGACAGAACATCACCTAGCGCGCTAATCAGACTTCAAAGTCAAGTTGAATTTACATTCAGCCCGCACATAGCAATGGCCTGCATACCTTTTCTCTAAAAATTTACAATTAAGATTATTAAAAACTATAATAAATGGTTGGTGGATAACATGTATAAACTGCAATGTTTTAACCAACCAAATAAAGTGGCTGTAACTATGCCAAAACGAAAGTAACACGCTCATGCCATTTTTTTCGTACCAACACAGCCCCGCCGAAGCTGATGAAGCCCCCGCAGCTGCCGGACGGCGCTTCTAGAGAATCGCAAAAGCGGAGAGGAAACGCTCGGAGGATCAGCCGAAAGACCGCAAGCAAAACGCCGGACCAACAATGGAGCGGCCAGCTGTACGTGGGAACAACGTCTGTCTCTTCCGTATGGGCCAAGCGACTGACTCAGTACAGCTAACCATAACCAGTCAGAACGCGAATCAACAAATGAACTGCATTCGTATAGGAACTACTTTGTGTGTTATATGTGACCACTTATATGTTATATTCAACACCTATTTGCAGATATTATATCCCGTCTCTAAAGGCCCAGATGAAGAAGAAAAAAAGAACCACGGTCATCAATTTTCATGTACAAATAATAATTTAGCAGATCTTACCAATTCTGCAACTAGCCCACTTATGCGTCTACCCCACTCGCTGGAGGACGGGCCAAAGACGGTGGTTTTAGGTTTGTAAGTGAATTGATATATTTTTTTTCCTTTTCAATGAAAAACCCAACCATGCTTCGGGGATTCCCCGAAAACAAGCCGGAAATGTGGGCGTGGTTATGCAAATAGATCACATGGATATATGCGGCTTCCAATCAGATGCCAAACCAATCAAATAATTTGGTTTCGAATTCAAAACGCGCCTGCCGTACGTTCTAGAGAACGCGCGCACGACAAAACCGCTTAGTCGTAAATCCTGAAAAATACGTTCAATCCCGCGCGCGGCAAGCGATAGGCTGCAGTTAATAACACAGCGTCCTCAGTGGTGAGGAGGTTAACTGCTGCATCTAACTTCACTAGTGAATGAAAGCACTGGTCTCGAAGATGTCGGACAGTAAATATGATGCAGAAATAAAACCAAGGAAACCTGCGCCCAACAAAAAAATCCCCGTTGATCTTCACGTACCACTTGTCACACACAAGTGATTCATTCGTTACAGATGATCGATGGTATAAAACGCATTACCAGATTCCGAAACCAGAATAACATATGTTGGAAAACTCGACAGAAGTCAGCGCTGTTTATTTTGTTAATGGAATAATTTAAGGATGTCATTGCAGCTGTTCCTTCTGTTAATACGACTTCATTCACAGATTATCCTCAAATGGCAAATAAAAAGGAAACGGTAAAAAAAAATATATAAAAATAAAATGTATATATATCCGCCAGCTGCAATGAGAAATAAATTGCTTAGGCTTGCTTTTATATATATATATATATATATGTGTGTGTGTGTGTGTGTGTGTGTTTATATATAAGGCCATGGGAATGAAAGTTATACATTTGCGTCCAGGCAATCCAAAAAAGTGATGCGGTTTTTTTTCATTATTCATTATTTTAGTTTTCATTATTTTACTTAGCATTTACATTTTACCTCGAGTTTTGCCCCCTGGTGTACTGGTATCATAAAATCTTATGTAAAATAGAAAAAAATAAAGAACTATGAACCATAGATATTCAATTAAAGTATTATTTATTTGGTCTCTTGGGTAAACAGTCCAGGCTCCCGGGGTAGGCCTAGGGCACTGCATCCATCGCAAAGAGGGTACGTCTCGACATTTTCCCCTGTCGCCTCTCCACCGCAATAGTAACAGACAGCTTCAGTTCCAATAGCATATTATATGCCGTGTATTGGCGACCACATCGCAGCGCAGGCGTGATCGTTTGTTCAGGGCGCGCGCTTCTCAGAGCAAGACTAAGAATAAATCAACGACAAGAGTGAGTAGACATGTCGTGAAAAGCATCATACAGCGTCATTTTTAATGGGAAAGACATTTTGTGTAACAGTTTGATTTTTTTGTGGAAATAATGAACATTTTTGCCAATAATGAACATTTTTAGCGGTGGCTGTCAAGACATGCGGACAGTGGACGCAAATCTATAACTTTCATTCCCATGGCCTAAGTAAGCGTAAGCAATTTATTTATTTCTCATTGCAGTTTAAGAAGACTGATTTTTTATATATAGTATTAAATAATTGTCTTATCTTTGGTGCGCTTCAAACAGTCGGCTTAAGCTGCAATGAGAAATAAATAAATTGCTTAGGCCTATATAACACGTATGGATTGGGAAATGGAGTTACCACGCAAGAAGGTATTTTATTCTGTCGTATATAGTAGCCTATATCGAGTTGCCCCTCTTGTTTTTGCACGCGTCGCAGCCACATGAAACGTTTCCCAGGTCTAACCACAATTTACTACTTTAGGGACTGTTCGAGGGTATTACTTCCATATTGACTGTTATAAAAATTCTCCCGTATAGCCGGATTCCCCTTGAAACTACAGTTATGATGCGAAATTCATAGTAAAACGAATGTAAGGCTTTCATCGACATTCTGGCAGTATTATAATTACGTAACTTCTTTCCAAATTAAGTAAAATATCGAACTCCTCGTTCACTGCAAAAACTCAATATTATGTAACAGAATATCAGCGTTGATAATCAGTATTTGAAGTTTATTTTGTTGCATTTTTCAAATAACACCTTTATCTCCTGCTCGCGAACATGTTCTGATTGTTATAAATATAACTTTCATTGTTGTTCACTTATATCGAGGTGGCAAAATCCGTTACTCGTATTTTACTAGTCGTTCGTAAGACTACATAAAACAATGAAATGGATATTACGGTGACAAAAGAACTAGTTCATTTTGGACAGCCGCGCGAAGAGGCCAAAGGGTCATGGTAAGTAAACTGAACCATGGGTGTTGAAATTTAAAATTTACATTTACAAACATATTTTAAATCTCAGAGGTAGAAATTCAGAGAGAAATACATAGGAAACTTAGCATAAGTTTATGAAACTACGCTAGATACATTATAGCTTCACAAATAACATGTTACTACACACAACACGGTTTTTTTAATAGGTTATTACAGTATAACAGGTACTGCCACTACTCAACCGATCTCTAATCATGCAAGAATCCTCATTAGATTACCGTATAAACTGCCGCAAACCACAGAACCCCGTAAATCGCATAAAAGCCTAAATTATCTACTAATCTTAGAATTGTTCTCATTATATCCCTCCCAGTTCAGTGCAAAACCAATGCTCGTTAATATAAACAGGGCGAGATTTGCCAATAAGAAGCCGCTGCTCTTACACGCGTAATCCGCAGAGGTTGTGACTTTGTTTTACAAACAGTGAAGTTGTTACGAGCTTTTTCAAATGTAACTGATTCCAAAGACCTGCCCCAAACCGGGATGCACAGGAGTAGCTGAAGGGTGACTCTGGCCCAGGGAATACAGGCGTATTTTAATGTGAGAGTATGTTCGGAAATGCAGATTTGCCAACTTTGGTCAGCTGGCTCTAGTGAGATTTTCAATTCGAGACAAGTCTGCGCACCCATTTACATGTGTGTAGAAGTTTCATTACCTTGTAAATAGTCTATAGGGTTTGCAAACTGCCCCAAACACATTTGATATTGCTAATTTTAAGTTTATAAAAAATAATATAGATTTGCCGCAAGATTTCTTGCGTGAGGGTTAGCCTGAAAAGTCACGCCAGATTCGTTACAATTGGCAATCCTGGAAATGAGAAAGTGAATCATTACCATAATGCAATTACCATAACAATTACCACTTATATACGCAGATAATTATAACTATAAATTATGGTGACTTCTTTAGCAGAAATGATCATAATTGAATGTTTTAGACATTATAACAACATACGGGACTTTGGGCACCCATACAGGTGTGAGGAATATTTAAAAAGTTTCTCCAATGATTAATTTCTTCCTTTTTGCTGGTTTATCTCAGTGTGTGTCCCTTTGACAGCCTCGGGTAGAGTGAAGCGCTGCAAAGCCAACTGTATAGCAGCTCAGAAATACGAAATTTTAATGCTAAACTCCTTTACTGAGCAGAAAAAACACAGCTAAACTAAACGGCATGATCATCGTGGTGTATGTATTACATTAGAAAAATAAAGCCCCAACATATGAGATCAAGCAGCCACAAAATGGCGGGATATACGTGTAAGATTGTCTCTTATAATACACAGGGGTCAGACACACAGTGACCTAGATATCTTTAGATTAACATTCAGGATAAAACCTCAGAGATTTTCAAATGCAGGCAACATATATTTATATTATATATATATATTTCCCCACACACGCACATATATATGTATTATATATATATGAAATATTTGTGTATGTAAGTATATCTAAACATTTTAAATAAGGTGTTATTATTGGATGCCAAGGAAGTTTCTGAGAATCAAACGAAAAGGCCACAGTATCCGGGCTGAGAAATTGTATCTTGTGTAAGTTTTACTGTATTTCTTGTCATAAAAAAATCCACAATTGGCCCGTCGTTTCGGAGCAAACTACAATACAAACAAAATGCCACGGCGTTCATTCCGGCCCATCAAACCTTAAACTATAAAGGGAAAAGAGACCGCCAGATTGTACAAATGCTACACGTGATGCATAAGGTTTCAAATGCATCTTGAATTCTTCACAATATTGAACATTTTATTATGAAATACAAATTAAATTAATGGGATGGAAAAAAAAATAGTAAAAACGTGAATTAACCTAAGATGATTAAGGTCATATTTTGTTAAGGTGCAAGAAAATAATGGTATGTCTCAAAAAATACATAATAATTAAATTAAATAAAATTAAATTAATGATTCTACAACTACGCTTAGAACGGGAAAACACATAATGGCGAATTTGCAGCTGAGGTGCTTCTCACTCAGAAGCTGAAGTATAAAATGGCTCTCCTGACAGAGCTTACTTACTTCATTGCTACTTAGGCCTCGCAGACCAACTAATAGGCATATATCATTTTTAAATTGAGCCATTTTTCCGCAATAAAAATAACTACAAAATAGGAAAAATAAAATGCCAGGAATTATTTTAAGTTCCGAACTTCCACAACTGAAGCACATGTCTGTTTGCCAAAACATGAGTCGGGTGTCCTGCACTATTCCAAGAAAATTTGATCTTAATTTCCAGGGAATCGCGGTAAAAATTCAAGGGGATGCGTTTGAAAATCGATTCACGTCGAACTTTCTAAATGCACATGTAGCAGGAGAGGGTGAGCTGTATAGGAATACAGCCCTGTTTCTAAAATGGAGGCACCCACCTGTCATCAATGATGTTACAAACCCCAAAGACATTTCTGCAACAGGGTTCGAAAACCAGGTCGGACGAGAACAAGCTGGACGGTGCCGCATCCGAATCCATGGTTCAGAATTTCAGGTGGTCAAAATGAAGCGACTACCCCAATATCTTAAGCAAAACCGGAAGGGGGAGGCCATACCATATCACTTTAAGGGGCTACCAAATTAGAGGGAGAAACGTCAGGACAAAACTTGCCAACGCCGACCAATAGAAACGAACAAACGAATTAGTGGTATTTCGAAAATTAGACGATTTTTGTGGTACCCCAGGAACACTGTGGCTGGGGACAGAGCAGGGGTGTCTGTGTAGCATTAGCTATCAAACAAACTGAAGTCACAGTACAGCTAAGAGGCAGTCCATGTGGACTGAATGAAACAACAGTTGTTTACACACCAGTAAAACTTAAAAGGGGTGTTAATTCCTGAAAAGCGAGGTAACACGATATAAACGAACAAACAAACCACCAATACCAACAAGCAGAGCGGTCCTCCATCTCAAATTCAGATGCCGATTCAATGATTCATTTAGGCTGGCCGGTAAGTTCAGCAGCAAAACTCTCCACATCCGACAGATGATCTCTTTCATATCCTCAGGTCTGTCTTTTTTCTGTCTCTCGTCAGTCTAGTTATTATTTTTTTATTGTCTCTTAATTTATTTAAAAGTACGCACCATCAGTATCACGGAAGTGACAGATAAGTTTTATTCAGCGGGCTCAGGCTGCTGCGTCCTCCCACTCTCTCTCTCGCTCTCTCTCTCTCTCTCTCTCTCTCTCTCTCTCTCTCTTTGGCTCTTCTCCTCTCCCTCGCACCGTACTGGCTGACATAGCGCACTCTGCTTCCGTCCGGCGTCCTACCACCGACTGATATATCGTCAGACGCTCTCGGTTGGTGACTTGTGGTCAATCTCTTGTTATCTCTGCGTTTCGTTTTGCACTAATTCTGTCAATTTTCCCTCCCGTCTTGAGTGTGTATATCCCACATAACCTCATTCATTCTCTCATTTTTCTGCATTTCGTCACCCTGAGCTCTCGCTCTCTGTGTCACATGACTGCAGTACTTCCCCACCCCCTAGTTGATGTGAACCAGCACAACTGATCGGGCTATTTGGGCATGGTTCTATCTCTCACTTCGGATCCCCCCCTCCCCTTTATTTACAATATCACCCCTCCCCTTATATTACCCCATCCATGTAGCTTTAAAGTTATGACAGAAGATGTGACAGTCAGACTGAAAGCACAGAACTGTTCACAGAGATGAGAGGGCGGTACACTTCCGAACTGGCTGACACTCTCTCACTATGACATGGGTGGTGCCTGAAAAAAACTGGCTCTGTTTCTGAAAAGCGGGACACAGCCTTGACATGCTCCATCTTCGCTATATGCGGAACTGGGCTGACAAACAAAAGGGCGCCAAAGGGAAAATTTGAGGAACTTCACTGGGCGGGAAAGCAGCCCCGACTGCAGCTGCCAGCGCAAGACGCCACCAGCGTTTGGAGAGAGTTTCTGCACACGATCCACCAATAGCGTCCACTCCTGATAGACCACAGAGTTTCACTTTCCTTCTACATGAACCAAATAGGTAACTGATGGGGAGGGAGGGGAGGGAGAGAGAAAGAGGGATGAGAGATTAGTAAAAATTAAGAGATTCTTCACTCTTTTGAAGCCTCATACTGTTTTAGTTTAGTGCAACATGTTTAATATTTTTTTAATCACAGCACACTTCATTCTCAGAAATAATATGACCCAACACATCAGATTGCTTCATGTGACTCTGAAAATAAGATTCACTGAGCTGGCCAGTTACATTACCCTGACACACATTCCCTCCTGTTCCAAAGAGACTTTCAGAATCTAGCACAGGGGTGCCCAAATCCAGTCCTGGGGGGCCAGATCCCTGCACATTTTTGGGTTTCCCCTCATATAACACATCTGATTCAACTCCTTGTGCTAATTACCACACAGCTCTTGAGCTGAATCATTTATGGTGGAACAGGGAAATAGCTAAGCTACACAGGGCTCCGGCCCCCCAGGACTGGAGTTGGGCAGCCCTGATCGAGCATCACAAAGAGTGACATCACCCATCAGAGGCATTGCTAGGAGTCAGCTCAATCTCCCTGTGAGGAAAAGTAGGTATTTTCCACAGAACCACAGACTTGCTCAATCCTGAATAAACAGGCGCTGCACTGTACTCACAAACCGTCTCATCCAATCGGCCACGTTCCCCCGGTGTTTTCAGAGGACAGCCAATGGGCTGCTTCTGAGTGTTGAACACCAGGATGCTTCACCTGGTTCCAAGACAGAGGGCGCAATTGTGCGATAGACATACAAGCGACAACGACGCTATGCTCCACAGCAGGGGTGGCCAATATTATCCACGAAGGGCCGGTGCGTATGCAGGTTTCTCCAACGCGAACCGGCACGCCGTCCGGCCAGCGGGTCCTCGAGTCACTCCACGTGAAAGGCAGACAATGCCCGTCATCATATTTGCAGTTATACTTCCATAACGTTGCCGCTTTCCGAAAAAAAAGCACGCCACTCTCCAGAGTGGGTGTGTTTTTAAAGATTTGCTGGACTCGTATTCCCTTGCAGGCACCTCCAGTCACGTACCACGGGACGGTCCAAAAGCCAGTCTGGTTGCTGGCGGCAGTGTGAATTTACCCTCTCCCTGCTCGACCAGGAGGCGCAGTGATGGTCTGCCACTTGCTTGGTGATTTTTTTTTTTGCACTATTGTACTGTTGTAAATCACCGTCATTAACATATTGATTTGTCTGTTATGTGCAATTTCTGGATTATACAGGCATACTCTATACTGGTTGTTGTCCTTATTTAAGGGTTGGTGTCTGTAAAATTTCACTGCGACCCGGTCATTTCAGACGCTTCTTATTCTGAATAATACTTTGAGTTGTGTTAAATCAATAAATAAGGCTATCACATAAACGTGTATCTACTATATAATAATAAAATGTTTCGATTCATAAAACTAGGAAAAGAATAATTCATCCCCACACAGTGATATTAAATCTGTCAGTATAGCATGCAGATATTTTTTGTTAAAAAAATCTTTCTTTAAATCAAGGTCACCGGATCCACCTCTGTCTGTACCCTGTCCCCCGCCGACTGCTTAGTGCGCCTATTCCCGCTGCTACAGCCGTACATTTCACCTCATCGCTGGTCTGGGGCCAGATCGCTGTGCTGCCTGCGCTACAGTATAAAAGGCCGAGTGCCTCTTCGGCTAATGGTGCACCGGCCATCAGATTGCACTTAGAGTCCTGTTTCACGGGACTATATTTAACCGGCCTGCAGGCTCCACTAATTTTTAAATGTTACTTCACACTTCGCTCTCTTCACCTTAATATTGGACTGACACCTTTCATAAACTCACCATTTTGCATCTGTGACGTTCACTATTTTTTAATAGTTAACAGATCAATATGGAGCACGCCATCTGAAAACGCGACCTTATATAAGCTACGGTTGCTTTAAATAAACCACTGACTTCACTTCACAGGACCGCGAGTGAAAAATCCCCCGTTTTGTAAGCGCTCGGCGTGGGCCGGTGCCGAATGAATGGTACCCCCTCCGCGAACGCGCCGGTCCCGCACCGACCAGATCAAGCCACAATGGGTAAAATCCCCCGGAAGAGCACTCCCCGCTGAGAGAGTAAAAAACACCTTTCTAATACAGACGGTGACTGGGAATTAGGCATATAATGAAGGAGTGAAAGCGGTGCAAAGGCTCGTGCCCGGTATCCCAGGCGCGCTCCCGCCATCCAATGAGTGTCGGGATGGAGGGGTGAACGCGGCTGCGCAGTTGGGGTTAAGTGTTACAGTGGGGGGAAAAATCCTTCCTTTCGGGATCTGTGGGCGCTTAATGTTAGGGGAGCTAAAGAAAGAGCGACGAGCTGGTGGTGCTAAACCTCGGGCCGGTGCGGATTTCTGGCCTCCTCGACTGTAAGGGCCAGCCAGAGTGCGCGCCTCTGCGTTCGGATGCGCGGCACCGGCGCGCCGCTAAATAACGCGCAACGCCGCCGGAAAAGCGACGGGAGAGGCGCTGGGAAGAAAGAGGCAGGAGGCACTACTGGATAGACGCAGTGAGGCGAGGAGGGACGGCTGGGTGTGCGGGGGCAAAGAGGAGGAAACTGGATTTGTAGTCGTGCGAAGCGGGGCTGACCGGCCGGAGACGCGTTTAACTGAGAGGAGAGTGGCCGAGGTGAGTGTTTTTATTAAAACCACGGCAGACGCAGCCGATCGTGAGCCCCCCCAGCCACGCTTGGATACTTTAAACTGTCATGTCATTGCATTGACCAGCAAAAATAGAAGATACAGATGTGCATTAATTTGTAACGTGGGCGCATTTCGCTTGGTGGAGCTTACAGCAGATTACGCATTTACGGGTGTTAGTCTCCCTGTGAGGCCGAGCGGCCCTGAATCCTACTGATCGCAGTTATAAATCTGTCTGCCTATCCCCAGCCAGTCATTCACACTCATGCAAAAAACAATTAACTGCTGTAGAATGATTGCATACGTATGCATATAATGAAAGTGCATTTTCTACTTTGCACGCATACTGTAATGCATGTTCCGTGTAAAATGTGGTCATTATCCCGCATCGGCGCTATCCGGCCACGCCGGCGGGCCTCGGTCCAGGTCCGGTTTAAGGGGAGGTGCTGGGGGGGGATGTCCGGTAAATAAGCTGCTGTCTCCTCCCACAAGATGCGCTTGTGGATACGAGCCGGTCGCTCAGGGATCCTCGGGGGGCATCCTGCGTGTGTTTTCCCGTAATTTCCGCAGATGGCCCGGGACCGGCCGTGGATTAAAATGATTTCCTCCCGTTGGATCTCCTTAAAGCGCCATGGTGAAGCTGACTTTATGTGCCCGGTGTTTCTGGCACATGATCAGACGTGTATTAGTGGGGTTTACAAGGGTTAAGGTAGTTAAGACACGTGAGTAAGCCGAATAACCGGTTAATTGTAACTAACGCCGCGGGCACTAAGATCAGCCGTCGTTTTGCATAATGTTCAGTTATCCTCTTTTAACAGCTTTACCTTTAATACTTACAATAGTTCTAGTTTGTAATATATGTAATTGTGTATATTTTATATTTTCTCATTCTATTTTTCTAATATTATTAATATTTTGATTCGTATCTTTATGGTCCGTCCCACCCGCTTCTACACGCCTTTCTCTTACTTGCATTTCCCTGCTTATTTGATTTCCCTCCTACCCACGAGATCACAGAGCTTTAGTATTGTGAGGACTTGCAGTGACATGCTAATTCGTGCCCAGGGCCCGTTGTGAATCTGGCACTGGGATGACGGAGCGCCCCCGTGTGGTGCTCCTGTGCCCTGCCTGAGTTAGCCTGCCCTCCCTCTGCATTGTGCATGAATTCCTGTGAACAGCAGCACATAGTGACCAATGGAGTCGGTACTCGTGCTTTGTGGTGTTCTGTTATTTTAAATTCTAGGTTCTCGTGATGAAAATGAGGGTTTTGTTTTAATTCCACAGTCTGGCAGATGAAAGCTTAATTGAGGGCCAGGGGGCTGCAGCGAGGCGTGGTTCCCTTGTGGTCCTCGGCCTGGTCCTCACCATTCACATGTTGACGCCTCCTTGTGCTGTTTCCCAGCGTCGACATGGCCGACGCAGATCTGGACTTTCAGACGGGCGATGCCGGGGCGTCCACCACCTTCCCCATGCAGTGCTCTGCCCTGCGCAAGAACGGCTACGTCCTGCTGAAGGGCCGGCCGTGCAAGATCGTGGAGATGTCCACCTCCAAGACGGGCAAGCACGGTCATGCCAAGGTGGGCCGGGCCAGATGCCCATGTTGTCGCGTCGCAGTCGTGTCGCTGCTCGGAAATTGTCCGTGATCTCCTGCGTCTTCAGCACGTGGTTTCTTTGGACAGGTCCACATGGTCGGAATTGACATCTTCTCTGGCAAGAAGTATGAGGACATCTGTCCCTCTACACACAACATGGATGTGCCCAACATCAAGAGGATGGAGTACCAGGTGCGTTCTTGGTTATGAAGGGAATTGTGTGTGTGTGTGTGTGTGTGTGTGTGTGTGTGTGGGGGGGGGGGGCTTGTTTCTTCCTCCTTCCACCTGACTGTTTGGTGTTCCACTCTCACCCTTAGCTGATCGGCATCCAGGACGGCTACCTGTCTCTGCTCCAGGACAACGGCGAGGTGCGGGAGGACCTCAAGATGCCTGAAGGAGACCTGGGCAAGGAGATCGAGGCCAAGTTTGATGCCGGCGAGGAGATCCTGGTCAGTTCAGTTGCGACAGGGGCCCTTAGCTCCTGCTCCCCCTCTGTCCTCCTTTCCCCGAACCTCACCGGCCTCTCGTTACACCCCTGGCAGATCAGCGTCCTTTCCGCCATGAATGAGGAGTACGCCGTGGCCGTCAAGTCCGTGCTCAAGTAAAGGTGAGGCAGCGGCCGGCCGGCCTCTTCACGCCTCCACCGGGGCTTCAGGGAAAGTGCAGAGGTAGCAATTTCAGGTCCAGAAAGTAAAAATCCAGACCATGATTTACTTTCAACCAAACAGTTGAGCATAAAGAGTCAGTGACAGGGTACTCAACTGGTTGGTTGAAATAAAATTTTGGTCTGGATTTTTACTTTCTGGATCTGAAATTATCACCTCTGGATAAGTGCAGCCGTTCCTGTCTCCTGTTTTCCGGCCTGATATGTTCTCCTGTATAGACTGTCGGCGTTTTGATAACTACAAACGCACAGCTCCTTCAGGCCCGTGATGAATCAAGAAAACCAAGCTGAGACGATGTACGAAATGAACCACTTCATGCTCAGTGTTGGGCATTTCGGGTCCAGAACCTTCAAATCCAGACCAAGATTTTGATTCTACCAACCAGTCAACTACTCTGTGACTCTCTGTGCTCAACTGGTTGGTAGAAACAAAATCTTGGTCTGGATTTGAAGTTTCTGGACCTGAAAGGCCCGGCCCCGCTCATGCTAATGGGTCATTGGGTTTAGTAACAGTAAATATTTACAAACATCCCACATTGGGGCAGAAGACGGTCTGTGCTTTCCATCTGGTCTTTGCAGATTTGTATTTATGATGGGGGGGGAAACTCTAAAAACCCACATTCCCCACCCCCCCGTAGTATCTACGGTGACATTTCCGTGATCAGGTGGCTGGGCTCTGTCTAGCCGGTTTGGTCGGTGAAGTCGCCCAGCCTGATCCGTTCCTCCCTCCTAACCCACTGTCCCCCGACTGTCTTTAGGGTGCGGTGAAGATGCCCGGACCAGATGAGAAGAGAGGGAATGAGTCCTCCTCTTCATCATCTCCTCACTCTCTCTATCTCACTCTGCCTTCTACCTTTTAGGTAAAAAAAAAAAAAAAAAACGTAGGAAATATATTCAGAATACAATTGGAAGCTGTAAACAGAAAATATATGCATATATACCGTAATGTAGAGCATCTATTCATGTAATTCACCAAATACGGGCATGAAGGGGATCAAAGTTTTCAAAATGTGCCACCTTGGCGAATGCAAATGTTTCCTGGCTGGTTTTAAGGGCTTTTACATCTTCTGTCAGCCTCTCTTCCGTGTTTAATATTATTAATCTGTGTTACTTTCCGGATCCTCCTGTAGCCCCTTCTATCTCGTGTATCTAATACCTGTTTTAGGGATTGCGAGTATCACAGTGAGTATTAAGGGTAGGAGTACTTAAGGACTACCATCAGTTAGCCATACATTGTAAGTCAGATGCACCTGGGCTGGTCTTTGTTTAGCAAAAATGTTGTTTAAAAAAAAAAAAATCAGTTTTTGTATGAATACCAGCGACAATACATTGAAAATTAAGTTTTGAGAATTCCTCAGTAAGGAAATTAAAACGCTGATCACAGCATCCCACATTGCACTGCAGTGAAGCTTCGTTTTTCTGAGTCAGCATGTCTGACCGTGCCCACTGCTAACCCCGCCCCCCCCCCAGAAACACACCCCACACCGTGATTGGCAGGTTTCTGGCTTGGCTGCAGCATTGCAGCTTATTGATTGGCCGTTCGCTGCTTAGATGGTGCAGACGATGCTCATTGACCTCCGTCTGAGGCAGAGCAAAAAAAATAAAAAAAATTAAAATCATGGTGCGTCTCAGAGTGTAGATGCGCAGACGTCGTTACCTTCGGGGATTTTTGTCACGTTTCGTGATGACAAAATGGGTCGTGCAGCGTAACATTAGTACAGGGATAATGGACTGGAGGGTGTCATTTGCCAAGTCTTGCTGTTAGTGTGACAGTATCTGTGACCGTGTGATCTCCTCGCTGCCCCTCCGCCATGGGGCTGTATGTAACGTGGCCTCTCCGTGAACGGCAGCACCTGACTCAGGTTCACGCCCGAAGGGTGTCCTGTCTGGGTGCAAAATCTTTCAGTCTTGTTTCCAGTCTTAGACAAGATCTCACATGCTTCAGCGTCACAGCAGGTCAACTGCGTATTTATTGTGTGATTATAACGCTATATATGTGTTTGCTTGCTCGCCATGCCCGGAGCAGCTCCACACGTTACATTGCGGCCCCACCCATATCACCTGCATTTATAGTTGTTAACGCTGCGCTAAGTTAACAACTTTGCTCAGCTTTCCATGGTGATCCGTTTAGTTTACGTATAACCTGAGGACAACCTGGCGCCAAAACCGCCACCTAAAGGTGCCAGGAGCCGGTCACACCTTCCGGAAGCTTCTTCTGCCACCTGCTGCTGCCACTTTGGTGACGAGCATCAACTGTTCAGATATCAGCATATCTGACTTTCGATTGCAAATCTAGAAAATGTTTTGTTTTTTTTTTTTTAAATTGATGTGACATCAATATTATGGAACTAAACTGCAAGGTGTCAGTGATCCGCTGTGTTGTGCTGAAATCTGGAAATGTTAACCCTTCACATGCTGCATGGTTCTCTTGTGGTCCAGACAGCCAAAGGAGGTCCACTGGCTGGGCTTTATGCTGCTGGTGTGTTCTACAGGACCACAGATAAAAGGACATTACAACCACTTCCTCCTATGGATGCAGATATAGAGATTTGTATAGAATATAACTCCAAATGCCATAAGTGGACATTGAGGTAGCCCGTCTAGTATCGCAAAGTAACGCTAAGATTGGGCGATAAAGGATCAGAAGGTAACTTGAGCTCATCTTATGTATTGTTGCTACACAAGTGAAACATCTCCTCCCGTTCCCCACAAGCATCTTTAATTCACTTGCATCGCAATCACGTTTGTTAAGTAAGTACTAAAACTTCAAAGATACGTAGTGGCAGGACTGGTAACCCGGGGAAACGATGGGCGTTGCCGGATGGGGGAGGGGACGTCCCTGTTTCCGAAGCCTCGCTCCTGTCAGGCGGGCAGTCTCCGCAGACCGTCTCGGGAAGCCCGGAGCAGAGGTCACTGTGACGACGCCCCCCCCCACCCCCCACCCCGAGGAGCCAAGCACACACTGCAGCCCTGCTTTTGTTACGCGATTCTTTTATTTTTGTAGGATGCACATCTGTTTAATCTCAGACTGAAAATAAACAAACTTTACCAGTGGAGTCTGTTGTCTAGTGGAGTCTGAATTCACATAATACAAAATGTAGATTATATTCCAAATAAAGCCTCTGACAGGTTGCTCAGTGATGTTACCGTGTAACTGCATGGAAGAAAGTCATACATTCTATAGATTTCTATTTACACACAAAAGTTAAGAAATCCTTGCCAATTTTCAGAAAACTTAAGTGTTCTCATCTTTAAAATCCTAAAAATACAGCAATATGTACTATTAGTATTTACACACCAGCCAACATGGAACTTGTGAACTTCATACAAGAAAGCTGAGCAGGGATCTGACCTCAGATCAGACCTCCGTCCATTGTCACCCTTAGCCCTCATCACTGCTTGAAGCGGAAACATGGAAAGCGGCACTTTAACTCTGCCAATCGGCCGTTCAGCCACGCCCTCTGTAGATGGACGACGGCTCGGCTGCCTTCTCCCTCATAGGTCAATTGATTACTTGCTGTGGTGATAGAACCTCTGTGCTGATTGGCTGTGGGAGAGGTAGGCGTGGCGAGGTGCAGGCTGAGGTGAACCCTGGAAAGTAGCCTATCGCAGGGAAGCAGGGTGAATTGCTGGAAGCGTCATCATGACTAATCCTGCTAGCATGCGTACAGATATATAAGGTGCGCCATTCCTATGTTGTGCAGTGTCAGACCTACTTCTTTGCATGAGCCATATTGTGCCAAATCCAATCTCAAGTGGGCTGATCTACAGTGCCAGTCAAAAGTTTGGAAACACCTTTCCATAGAAAGGTTTATCTGTACTCTTCTCTACACTTTAGAATAACTATAAAATGACATATATGGAATTATGCACTGAGGGGGAAAAATTGTTGGGGGGGGGCAGCTCATTGGGTTGGGACTCAGTAGGTTGCTGGTTCAAATCCTGCAGTCAGCATACTGATGCCAAGACTGGGCTCTTGACCAAGGCCCTTAACCCCAATTGCTCCAGGGACTGGCTGACCTTACCGTCTCCTCTACGCCAGCTCCATGAGGCGGCCTGGGACGCTTTCCAGCCGGCTTGGCATGTACAGGTTTTTGACACCTTTAGGATTACATTTACAAAATGTATCTAGTAGGCGCTTGTGTCCAAATCAAAATACAACTGTGGATCATACAGCGCAGTCAGCCAGTCCCTGTAGCAACTTGAAGGGCCATTCTCAAGGACCGAACAGGGAGGTCACTCTGGGATTTGAACCAGCGACCTTCTGATCACAGGTACCGCACCCTGACCTGCTGAGCCACACCGTAACCCTGAGCCCGCCCACACTCGCAATCCCCCATCAGAGTGCTTAAAAACACGCCACTGCTTCTTCAGTGACACCGGGCATCCATTAATCCCCTCTGTCACCAGCTGTCCTAGCAAGCTGCTGTGTTTTCTAGCCCTGCAATTCTGATATATTATATTAATTCAGTACTCTAGTGCCCCCCAGCAGAATAAGTAAGAATTGCAGGATTTAAACATTATTTTTTAAGATGCAATGTAAACAAGTGTGACTCACAGGCTGGATGATAAAACTTCACTGATATATATTATTTCCCTTCAGTTCAAGTGCAACGGAATGTGGCAGCGAACCTGATTCGGTCCGGGGCGGGGGGTGGGGGAGGACCGGCAGACTCACCGAGTGCGTTTGCTGGGGGGGTGTCCCGTGACTGAAACCCCCGGGGGAGGCTGGGCGTGGGGGGTGGGCGTAAGGCAGGCTGGACTGTCACGGGACACGGTAGAGGAGGAGGGGATGTGTTAGCGACCACGGTGTGAGTGAGAATGAGTGTGTGTGCGTCAGACTGCCGGCTGACCTTTGCTGGAGGGATCTGCACCGCGATGGAGCCGCTGGGCATCAGGCCTGCAGTGCTGGGGTGGAGGGCCTGTGGGTGCAGGGGCCGCAGGGTACTCTGTGACACACACACAAACACACGCACGCACACACACGCACGCAGCAAAGTCACCGATACCTGGCACTGAGGACCCACGACTGACACAACCAGGAAGGTTAGAGAGATAGAGAGAGAGAGAGACAGGGAGGGAGATGGAGAAAGAGAGAGACAGACAAGGAGGGAGAGAGAGAGAGAGAGAGACGGGGAGGGAAAGAGAGACAGATAGAGAGAGACAGAGGGAATGTCCTGACCGAGTCGGTGAAGCCGGACTGCTGGTTGGCATGTTCCAGCTGCTTCTGCAGGGGGATGCTGGCACTGGGGATGAAGCCTGTGAAGAGAGGAGGGTCAGAGAGGGACCGGCGGGGTACTGTGGGGGGGGGGGGGGACCAGCTGCCCCTAAATGCCTGCTCCTGTTAACATCAGGAAGTAGGCATGAGAGAAAGACAGCTGAGACTGTCCAGCATTTTTTTCTATCTATTCTTCACTTGTGACAGACAGACAGACAGACAGACAGACACAGACAGACAGACAGACACAGACAGACAGACACAGAGAGACAGACACAGAGAGACAGACACAGAGAGACAGACACAGACAGACAGGCGTACCCGACTGTGAGGGGAAGTGGCCATGCATGGCGTAGGCCTGCGGCTGGTGAGGGAGATACTGCACAGCCTGGAAGGCCGCGGCACCTGCCCAGGTGAGGGGAGAGAGCGTCAGAGGGCGACACACTGCCACCCTCTCGGCAGGAATCACAGGGACAAGTGGCAAGACATGCATGCACCTCTGAGCTGGGAGCCTCCGGTGTAGCTGGCGGGGACGGACTGCCCAGGGGCGTAGGAAGGCACGTGCTGGGTCTGGCTCACCCCGTACGGCCCGTGTGCCGCCTGTCCGGATGGGTACTGTCCATGCTCTGAGCTGCTGGCGCCGAAGCCAGCCTGGGCCTGGAAGGGACACCCCTGTCAGCTGACGGGGCCCAGTGACGGACGCTCACAGTGAACATGTACGCCTCGTCCCTCCCCTACTCACAGGAAGAACCGATGACTGGAACAGCTGCTTACTGCGGTCCCCAAGCAGAGCGGCCGAGCGGCCGTGATTGGCTGAGCTGCCTAAAACGGAGAAGGTGATAGGAGGATGGGAAAATGGGTAAGGGCATCGAATGAAATGATGACACCACAGCAATGAGTCGGCTGACAGACACACACAACTGCAGTATAAGCGATACAAATAAATATCCAGGCCTGAGAAGCTGAGTGTAACCATGGTGACGGTCTGAGAAGCTGAGTGTAACCATGGTGACGGTCTGAGAAGCTGAGTGTGACCATGGTGACGGTCTGAGAAGCTGAGTGTAACCATGGTGACGGTCTGAGAAGCTGAGTGTAACCATGGTGACGGTCTGAGAATAGTACGGGATAGGGCGGGGCATCCAGCTCGCCTTGGATGCTGAGAAGGTGCTGCCCTGAGTGCATAGCCATGCTGGGCTGGTAGGTGGTCGGGGTCAGCGTCGTCATGTCACTGTGGGGACGAAAGGGGGGCAGGATCTTTACAAATGAACACTGGGGTGGGGTGGGGGGGGGGACAGTAGCTAAGAGCTCATTTTGGGAGCGCGAGGGGCACACTGATGGAAACAGGGTCGTTGACCCGACTGCAGATCCTTCTGAAACTTTTGCCAGTGACTGATGAGGGTCCTGCAGTTGACTTTGCAGGCGATATGCCCCTCCCCTCACCCCCTCCCCTCACCCCCCACCCGCACTCACCACAATGGCTGTCTATGTCCTGGCACTTCCTTACAGATGCTGCCCTGTCACATTTAAAAGGTCTGACGGGAAAAGCGATCATACACTCCAACCTTATCCTCCGTCTCCTGTCCACAGTTGTACTTCTTTCAGAAAAAGCTGCTCAATCTCATCTCTTTTTTTACAGCAATTAGAAAAGTACAAAAAAAAAACGTGAAGCCAGATGTAAATTATTTCAAGTAGAATAAATACATTTTACTCCCATTTCAGAACAAAAATGCCCCGTGAGTCCTGACCCGCGCGTGTTTGTGTGTGTGTATCTGAGCAGCCTCCTTAGACCAAGGCATGTGTCTGGGTCAAGGCCCTCTCCTCACCTCTGCTCCTTCCTACGCCGCTTCTCCTCCTCGTGGAGCACCTTCTTCAGCTGCAGGAACAGCTGGTGCTTCTCCTCCTGCAGGCCCTGTAGCTTTTCCTCCATCTTCATGATCTGGGAGGTGAGGGCAGATAGGTGGTGGTAGAGAGGATGGCACAGAATGCAACTCGGGGGAAGGAGGTTGTATACCAATCAAACACGTCACACCTGCTCCTTAGTCTCCTCTAGGGACATCCTCTCCTCCATTTCTTTTTTCCTCTTCCTCTCTTCCTCTTCCTTCAGTTTCTGTTCCATCATCTTATCCACCTCCTCCTCCTCTGTGGCAGTGCATGAAAACATGAAGGTGAGGGGGCTCAATGAATCGCTACTGCCAGCCGGACGCAGAGTAAAGCGATGGATGGCTATAACCGGCAAGTGCTTTCTTTTGCACAAAACGAATTTTTTTTAAAGGACTAAAACTATATAAATATATGGGCCGCTAGCATTGTTTAACATTTCACTGCTTAACTTTACTTCATTTTCACGGCTGCCTCACCCTGCCTCTTGCGTTCCCTCTCTCTCATAATATGCTTGTGCAGCGCCCGGGCCATGGCGTTGGACAGCTTCGGTCTCTCCAGCAGGGCGGGCATGTTGCAGAGCGCCGGGTGAACCTGTCGCCGCGCCAAACCCGGAACAAGCGCAGTAAACAAGATGTCGACTTCAAGAGTGCAACTTGGAAAAGTACTTTTCACAAGTTTACAATACACCGTCATCGTTAATAGTAACCGCTACCGTAAACGGGATTGGAGAAAACATCATCTATATAATATGTAAATTGTTAGGTTATTATTTTAAACACGATGTACACATTAAAACAGCGATTTAAAATGCAGCTTCTGTATGCGCAGTATAAACTATGCAGCTAGTTGACAACACACTCCTACTTACAATAATAGCGGTGGAAAGTTCTCTAATATACGTCACTCTGTGCCCGAGCTAATATTGTTTCCTGAGTTTCTTTGATGTCGATCTGGTGAAATATTATTACACTAAAGTACTAAATGCAATGGTGATAAGGACAAGAGAAACGCACTTGCCTGAAAACTGTGCGGAAGTGTTTTGGTGTTGCACAGGGGGCGGGAATAATTTCCGGTTAAGGAATCGGAAGTGCGTCACGGCCGTAGCGCTGCGTGGTAGGTGGTTGTTAGAGCTGGGCTGCTGGAGCAGTCAAGCTTTTTAAAACATCTGATTAGATGGCATGCATCACCTATCACAATAGTTACAACGAACGTGTGATAATTATTGTAAGATCTCAGTGATTAAAAAGATCGTAAGTCATATAGCATTGTTAAACTCCTTGAATAGGGCGATTCACGTTCAGATGATTCTCGGTGATATGTAAACTCTGTTAATTACCCATCCATGTTTTGTGACTTTTTTTTAATCAACTATGACCATTTTCAGTTAGTGAAACTTTTTGGGCAAACAAAATCACTAATACAAACACTACTGCCTAAGCTAAAAAGACGCATTAAGTGGAGTGAGAATTAGCTGTATCAGCTATGGAAAAGGTCTGATAGTTAGCAAGAAGCCAAACAGCCTGTGTATAAATTGCAAGTGCATCAGACAAAAAAAAAACTCAATATATGTGAGAATTTCAGGATTGCAGTTTGATGCACATTTCCTTCACCCCTTAAAGAAGTGGAGTCTTTTTTTTCCATAATATCACATCACACACAGTTCTGGACATCAGCTTTCCAAGAGTGACTGAGACTGTTTTGAAGGCAAAGGGTGGTCATACCCCATATCAGGTCCCTGGTAGTAATGTATCATTTGCCGTTTCTTTTATCAACCTCCTGTAGTTGTTTATGAAAAGATCATTTGGGAATGGTACATTTTTGATCATTCTATCATCTATCCCAGCTGTGAGGGGAAATGTCTGTTAAGCTGCTTTAAAAAAAAACCCAAGAAATTCAAAGTGGTATCTATATTCAAGTGTACCATGGTGTGAATTTGGTGGTCATCAGTTCTGTGAATTTTACAAACGTCATTTAAAACAATGAAGAAAATATAGTACTAGATAGAAAATTGAATAGCACAAAGGTCTGGAACAGGAAAATACGGCACATGACAATTATATTTTACAGATAAGTTGAGGGTGGGAGATAAGGAGATCGGTAAGCAAGATTAGTTTGTGGGACTTAAAGTTTGGTAGCGGTGGGACCTGGATGTGTTGGCCTGTATTTCACAGGAAGTGGTTAACACATAGATCAAGTAAAGGGAGAAAATGTGCTGATACAAATTTGTATCTTTTTCCTGAACTTTCCAATCTGCAGGAAAGTAATATCATACCCATCGGACCCTGCGTATTGTACACAAATGAGAGAATCTCATTGGGGAAACTTCGCAGTTCTGAGGTTTGAGCAGCGAGAGGCACGAAAAGGGGGAGGATTTACTTCCACATTTTGGAAATCAGTCCCTACTTCTGGCAGCCAAGCACTTCGGAGGACGACACAGACCTCCATTCTAAGAAGCAAGGCAGAGTTGAACAGTAAAGACTCACAATAAAATATCTTGGTGCATTTAAGGAAGTCGGCCGCGCTAATGACCCAGAGAAAGCAACAGCGGAAAGGCTTTTGGGCCAGGCGATAAACATCTATCTGCCCGGTGTCACAGCTGAACTCTGCACACTAAGCAGAGTGCTGTAACACAAAAGAACATAAATGCAGCATCTGAACTGACAAAAAAGGACGACGACAGAAATGGGGGGCAACGGATGAAAGAGTGTTTGGAAAACTCAAAGGCAACTGAAGGAGGAGACACATTTCTTAAAATCCATCCATTTTCCATAAATGCTTATCCAATGTAAGGTGACACAGAACTGGGGCAGGAATTCAACTCACAACTTAGACGGCTTAAAAATTTCTAAATCTTTTCAATGTACAACACATATGGAGACACTCCAGGGGTTACAATGGGGTTACATTCCAGTAAAAAAATATGGTAAATGAAAATGCATTTTAAAACAGTATACCTACCTAACAAACATCATAGCCTAGCCTACCTTAAACATTCTTTAAACACTTACATTAACCTACAGTTCGGCAAAATTATTAACACAAAGCCTATTTTATAATAAAGTGTTGGATATCTCGTAATTTACTTAATAATCATACCTGTCATGAATAATTATACCTGTCAAGTCGAAATATGGTAACACGTACCTTCGTAACCCAGAGAGCATCTGTACTAACTTGTAGAGGATCGTGAATTTATGTGAGTATTGCATGCCTCATCTTGGGCTGGCCTAACATGTCAAAGTGGGCCTTCAGCCTTCCACACAAGCCAACAAAGAGCCCGGGCAGACGAGAGGCCGGACCGTGGTCCACCTAGAAACCACATCTACAGGACGCAAGACAAAAAGGCTACTATGAAGGACAAATTGGACAGTATTCATTCTGGTGCTAGTAGTATAGCAGTCAGGGATAGGGAAAACAAAAACAAAAAAAGAGGAAAAGCCCAGTGGGAACCACATCACAGCCCACCGACGAGAATTCTGATTTACTTCCATCTTGTCAAGAAACATAACCCTTCCCCCGGAGACCCTGTAGCTGGCAGAAGTGTTGCTCAGTGAATGATCTCATGTGTGTTGGATGTGGAAACACCACACTGCAATTCAGACGAGCTCCGAACTCAAGACATGGAAAACACCAGGGAATGGCGGGAGGTCTGGCGTGGAAGGCCGGGACCGCGAAAGAGCAGAAGTGGCGCCCGGCGCCCGTGCGTGACCTTAGCGTGAAGCTTGTGCGGTTTGAGAGGGGCTAGCAGTGTGAGGTGACACATCAACATCACGTATCACTGCATTCATCTCTATCCACGTCCGAATCATGAGCGCGGTTCCTTAACAACTCTGAGAAATGCGACCACATGGCGTAGTGAGCCTGAGCGACACCTGAAGACTGAAACCTCAGTGGATTAAACCTGAACCAAGCTGTCAAAGCAGTATAAAATGACATTTTTTTGCCAATACCCCTAGATGTAAACTAAGACTGACAGATACTAAGACTGACAGATACTAAGACTGACAGATACTAAGACTGACAGATACTAAGACTGACAGATACTAAGACAGAGTACAGCTTTAGTGTGATGTCTGTCACACGTATGACATGTTCCAGGAGATCGGTTCATTGATATCAGGACTTATCCATACGGAAGGACAAAGCATTTAGGACTATAGAGAATTCCACAAATATACATCATACTCAGGGTGCAAAAACTTTGTATTCAGGGCTCATTTTCTGCATTATCAAGAGCAGAAAAGCTCCCCCAGAGAACTGAACCTCTTACCTTCTGCTTGCAAGTACATGTCCTTGGCTACGAAAGTTACAATATCTAACTCAGTCTGTTCAAAACACATGGCAGCTTTGTCTACTTCACATTTGTCAAAAAACCACAGTGATGCATGTATAAAAAGCACTCGTGAGAGTTCTACTTAAAGGCAACTAGAGGAGGCGGGACCAAGACATCTGATTGGTTGATCCTGCCTCCTCTAGTTGCTTGAACCCATCTCCTCTACAATCTGATTGGTTATCTCTATGAACCAATCATTCTTCGTTCTGCCCTCAGAACATTTTTGTGTAAGTAAAACTCCCATGAACATAAAAATCAGCCAAAACACTTGGCATTGTTTCTATATTGTAGAATACATGAGGCCACAGCCTGCTTGTGAATCACCGAATGTGCTTGAATCTGACAGACAGCGTAAATTACACCTCATACCCAACTCTCACCATGATCATTTATGTGTCCCTGATATCACATGCCATCACAAGGCAAAAAAGGCAACAAAGATGTGGTCATTTATCAGGTTTTATGCTTGTAGGTAACATTGCTGTATACAGCATTCAGATTACAAATAAATCCAACAGAAAATAAAACCAAAGGAAAAAAAGCTGCATGAGTCCAATGAGCTCAGCAATTAAACAATCAAAAGCTATAACTAATAATTACATATCACTGAAAGCTGACACGTAAAATTATGTTCAGACTGAAATTTCCTGCAATTAATTTATACTCAGACTAACACAAAACAGCTATATATTAAGTTCTTTTTCACATGCTGCATTCACCTACGATGAAGAGCTGCTAAGAATTCCCAGTGAGGCTTCTCTAAGCTCACTGGGAATTAAGCTTTAATTGCACGCAAACAATCCGACAGTCAATGCTGATCTCGGCCATTCGATGGTAACCGAAGAGACTGAGAAACTGACAAGCGAATCCCTGCTATTTTTTCTGTTCAGAGAGCAGAAGGAAAACAGTATGAAAGAGAACGGAGACAATAAAGGCTTAAATTAGAGATTCAGAAATGAGGCAGGAGCCGGTGCTGAAAGGAGGGAGAGAGTAAGATGGAGAGCTGCGTAAGAGTGTTTGTGTTAATGGCCCATTACATTTCCCTCAGCGTCCCTCCATAAACACTTTCATCGCTGTATGCAATGTACAGGAAAAAGTCCTCCTCATGATGTTCCTGTAGGAGAAAGAGAGATGGGGCCTTTAGAGAAGAAGCAGCAAGGTCTCTCCTAAAGGCTACCACCTCTGCTTCAGGTAGAGCGAGCACACACCTGGTACAGCAGCCCCATGGTGGCTGAGGTGGGGGGAATCACGTTGTTGACGAAGAAGAAGAGCGCATCCTCTGCACGCAAGTGGATCCGCTTCCGAATCAGAAAGTAGAACTGACCCACTTTTTCCACAAAGACAGGGAACAGGGGCACAGTGTTTGGGCTATACTTAAATCCACTGCACAGACATGGGGCTTAGCCAATGCTAAGCATTGCTCGCTTCTGAAATAAATTGTAACTTTAGAGATTAAACCACACTTTTGGTCTTTAATGTAACATTACGTCAAGGACTTCAGAAATTCTGATGTTTTTTTCTGTACGGTTTCTAAAGCAGAATGGAAATAACACTCAGTTTGTAAGCAGATGCAGCATTACACAAAAATTACAAAGAAATATGTGTGTTTACGGAAGACTGTGAGCTAACAACTGCTGTGGTAATAATTAGTGTTGTTTCATTGCCCGAGGAACCACTGGTCACCTGTGAGATCAGAGGGGACGAGGTACTTCTTTTTGTCCAGATCCCCTATTCTGGCTTTCGGCGCTTTCTCCACGATCACCTGGAATTAGAGAGGTCACAATCTGATGGGTCAGACCTACTGAACAGTGTCCCTAACGTCCCTGACCTTTTATCCCTGATTATTTATCCAAATTAAGATCACGCAGTAATCCAGTATGACTGGCGGTGACTTTTAATGGACCCATAAGAAAAAAAAACGAAAACATGAAATTAGAGTCAAGGTCGCCCACCTAAGGGAACTTGTGCCAAAACACCATCACCCCCCACCCCCCGTGCAGTCCTCCTTTCCGAATAATCGATGCGTTAAATATGCAGCTCGACGGACATTTTTGATGGAGCAGGTCGGGACCGAAAAGCCAGCTGACAGGATGGCCATTACCACGAAGACGGGGGCTGGGCGTTTAGCAGAGCTGTGTCAGTCCTGATGTGTCACTATAAACCCCTGCTCTACTTCACCTCTTTACCGAATCATTATTTAACACCTTGCCTTTGTTTGTTTTGTTTTAACCTCGCGCTAATGGTGGGTCAAAGCTGCGCCCAGCTAAACAGCCTGGCGTGCTAACCAGCTTGTTTACCGAGCTTATCAGCGGCAGACTCTCCGTACATCGTTAACCCCGGCATATAACTAACTAGACTTAAACCCCACATCTTGTGGTGTTGTTGTCAGTACTGGTGTTTTACCCCGAAAGCGCCCGGGCAGCCGCCGTTGCCGGTGAACGGCTATCGTCCGTTAGCTACTCACTGGCACCCTGTCCGGGTATTTCTTCCGTATTTTCTCCCCTTCCGACCGCCTCTTCTCAAACGGATGCTCTTCTTTGTACAGAAACTTCATGTTTTGTGTAGGGGTGCTAGGAGGGAAGGGGTCCCTGGTACTAGGCGAGCCTGACGTCGGGCTCCGGGGGCAGCTGTCAGTCCGGCTAAAGTCCTACGGCAGCGGCGCTCCTGCTGCGGCGGAAGGATACAGGATCGCACGCTAGGGCGGCCCTCCGTATCCACGAAACTGTATGCGCGAAAGCATGTGGACGCCTCCCAGTCGCTAACGTATTTGGCGTAAGCGCCCCGGCTACTGCCACTTGCGGCCAGCCCCGCGGAAAGAGCGAGGAGAAGGTCGCTGGACCGGCCGGCATGCGGGCTGCTTGCGGCTGTGCGCGTACATGTAGCGTGTGTGGGGCAAAGCGGGGGATGCGGCAAGGGGCGATCTCAACTACATCAGTATTAAAGTATATCGCCCATCATCTTACAGGCGCTTTCTGGATCTTTAGCCCAGGTATCGCCGTGTAAATCTGCCTGACGACAGGGTGACAATGTCAAATAAAATGCGCTGTTATGGAAAAATAATAATAATAAATATATATATACACACACACACACACATATATATATATATATATATATATATATATATACACATACACACACACAT